ACTTAAACACAATCACTAACTTAACATTTTGAATTTTCAGCCCCTTTTAGGGCAACTTTTGGTTAGTTGTTTTTACATAGTTGAGGTTATATTGTACATACAATTTTATATTCTTTCTCATTTAACTTTATAACTTAAATATCTTCTATGGCATCTTTATAAGCTCTCCATAGACATTAGTGCAATCTTTGTCTTGTAAAATAATGTTGGGAAATTTCTTTAGTTCCTGTGCTAACCTTTGAGCACAATTCCTGTGCTCTGCAGAATGAAGTGAATGAAACAAACACCCCGAAGTTGTCTCACTACACGTTGTTTCACCCAGTCTGGTTCCCCTCTTCAACATTCAGCAAAATAGTTGGTTTGTAGGCCGCTCTGAGAGAAAAGAGCCTGTTGTAGCACTCATTCAGTGATATAGCTGTAAATATCTAATTTTTTAGGGAGGGAAGAAGGAATGCTGGTACAGAAGGTAGCAATGCGAGTTCCATAGTTGGATAGGATGGGGATTTAAGGAAGTCTGCTGGTGCTGGATTAGTTCGATGTTGGTGTTATTTTATTTCTAACCTGTCTTTGTGTCAAAATGAGATTTCATGTTCCAGTTGTTAAAACATGCAATTTGAGTACTGTGGTTTTTTGTGTTGTCCAAGGAAGATTGAAAATCTGTAGCATGAATAATATGTTTTTTGTTTGAAGTCTTATGAATGTATTAAATGTATTAAAAGACTGTGCTGTTTCCTATTTTGAGTTTAAAAAAACTTTTTAATTCATTAAATGGTGCTGAGTAAAGGAAATAGGAAGGGTGTGCTTAGTGTTATTTTAACTAGGCTCTTCTCTCTTGGAGAGGCCTAAAAGCCAGGTTTTTTTTAAAGGCTTAAGGTGGGGAGGGAGTAGCAGACACAAGCAGCTCACTTCATTCTCAGTTCCTTCTCTTTCCAACACTGTTGTTTTTTTTGAAACCATTGTTTCTTTTAACCTCATTTTTCTCATAAATATGATATATCACTAAAAAATGTTAAGCACTACTAAAAAGTATTAAGAAAAATACTTACGTTGGAACAAAGTTTTTTGTAGGTTTTTTGTTGTTGTTTTTTTTTTTTTTTTCATGAAAACAGAACCAACCTTAACAGATTCCTCACTGAAGAAGATACACAGCTCTGGCCGGGTAGCTCAGTTGGTTGTGTCCTCCCGATATGCCACGGTTGAAGATTACATCCCTGGTCAGGTAACATACGAGCATCAGTCAATGAATGCATAAGTGAGTGGAACAACAAGTCGATGTTTCTCCCCTTCCTGTCTCTCTAAAATCAACTTAAAAAATAAATAAGTAAAAAGAAGATACACAGATAGCAACTAAGCATGTGAAAAGATGCTTCACATCATGTGTTATCAGGGAAATGAAAATGGAAATGAGATACCATAAGGCACTATTAAGAAGGCCACACTTGCCCTACCCGGTTTGGCTCAGTGGATAGAGCATCAGTCTGCAGACTCAAGGGTCGCAGGCTCAATTCTGGTCAAGGGCATGTACCTTGGTTTCGGGCACATCCCCAGTGGGGAGTGTGAGGAGGCAGCTGATCGATGTTTCTCTCTCATCGATGTTTCTAACTCTCTATCCCTCTCCCTTCCTCTCTGTAAAAAATCAATAAAATATTAAAAAAAAAAAAAGAAGGCCACACTCTGTGATACTGACAACACCAAATGCTGGCAAGGGTAAACATACTCTTACCATACTATTCACCGATTGTGCTCCTTAGTATTTACTCACAGGAGTTCAAAACTTAACATTGAAAACACTGCACATGGATATTTATAACAGCTTCATTCATAACTGCCAAAACTTGGAAGCAACTAAGATGTCCTTCAGTAGGTGATAGATAAATAAAATGTTGTACATCCAGGCAATATATTTTTTCAAAAGTTGATTTTAGAGAAATGGAGAGCGAGAGAAACCGATTTGTTGTTCCACTTACTTATGCCCTCATTCTTGTAAGTGCCCTGACTGGGGATGGAACCAGCAACCTTGGCGTATTGGTTCAATGCTCTAACCAACAGCTACCCAGCCAGGGCACACAGTGAATTCTTCAGCACTGAAGAGAAATGAGCTGTCAACCATGAAAAGACATGGAGAAAACATGTTTAATACTAAATGAAAGAAGCCAATATAAAAAAGTCACATACTGTATGATTCCAACTATACGATATTCTGGAAAAGACAAAATTATGATGTAAAAACATCAGTGGTTGCCAGGGTTTGAGGGGAGAGAGGAATGACTAGGCAGATCACAGGATTTTTTAGGGCAGTGAAACTATTCTGTATGTTTCTATATATATGCTATACTATGCACTACACTACATGATCTATGACATTATACATTTGTCCAAGCCCATAGAATGTTCAACACCAAGAGGGAACTCTAAACTATGGACTTTGGGTAATAATGATGTGTCATAGTAGGTTCATTAATTACCACAAATGTATCACTCTGGTGGGGCATGTTGATAACAGGGGAGATTGTGTGTGGGGGCAAGAGGTATATGGGAAATCCCTGTTCCTCTCAATTATGTTGTAAACCTAAAACTGCTCTTTAAAAGTCTGTTTAAAAAAGAAGCAAAAAACAAGATAAGTGGTTAACATTTCACCAGTGCTTATATTGAAAAGGTAATAAAAGGTCAGAGCACTGGGCTAGAAATCAGTGTGTACTGAGGATATGAAATAGGTATTAATGTTTTGCACTCTGGCCTTAGGAATACCAGTGAGAGCTTTCCAGATACTTAATACTAGACTTCTGTGTATTAGCATTCTTTTTTTAAAAATATATTTTTATTGATTTCAGAGAGTAAGGGAGAGGGAGAGAGAGATAGAAACATCAATGATCAGAGAGAATCATTGATTGACTGCCTCCTGCATGCCCCCTACCAGGGATCGAGCCCACAACCCCGGCATGTGCCCTTGACCAGAATCGAACCCAGGACCCTTCAGTCCACAGGCCAATGCTCTTTCCACTGAGCCAAACCAGCTAGGGCTGTCTTAGCATTCTTAGCACCTCAGTGCTACTCTGTGGTAGGCACGGTGCTGCCTAATACCATGTCATTGTTTCCCATTAAAGTCCAGGGTTCAATTCCTGGTCAGGGAACATGCCTGGGTTTTGGGTTCAATCCCCAGTCAGCGTGTGTACAGGAGCCAACTGGTCAATATGCTCTTTTCTATTTTAAATGAATTTGTTGTCCTTCACTCAAGGGAAAACCATTTATGTATCGGTGGAGTACAGTGCCTTACAAGCAGTGGAGCACTCTTTCCTGTAAACTTTTCAATGTTATCAGTGGCAGCTACCATTTTTTAAGTTCATTGTCTATGCAAGGAAGACCCTCGAGTAGGTGTTCTACATGGCTGTCAATCCACTTCACAACTCTAAGCAGTAGGGATGATTAGTCCCATTTTATAGATGTGGAAAGCAAGGCTTGAGAAGTGAGATGCATTGTCCAGGGTCACAAAGCCTGTTGGTCACAGAACTGGAACTTGGCCTTAGGACTTCTCATTTTCATTTCAGGTTCCTTCTTCTGTAGCCATACTCCATTGCTGATGTTTACAGCTGCCAAGTGGTACTCTTAGTTGTTTATCTGCCCTCGATGAGGTTGCCTAAGCTCTTGGAACCTATTTACTTCTGTGTAAAAATGGAATAATAATATCTGTAGTATAGGCTTATGAGACTTATATAAAATAATTTAGGCAAAGCACACTATAAAGTTGTAGTGTTATTATAGTAGTTATTTTATTAAAGAGGTCGTTTGTAGCCAGTGGTCAGACTGCTAGGTTTCAAGTCTCAGCTCTGCTTCTTAGTATTGTATGAGTTTAAACAAGTTATTTAACCTCTCTGTGCCTCGGTTTCCTCATCTGTAGAATGGGGATAATAACCACACTGCCTACCTCATGGAGTCATTGTGAGGAATAAATGAAATAACCCAGGTGAAGTCTGTTCAATAACTTCTAGTCATTATTAATATAAGTTCTCCTTATACCCTATTTGATAATTCAATTTGCCTCACAGTCCCTCTTACCACATTCCTCCGATAATATTGATCACATTAAAAGATAATGAATATGAAAAAAAGATAATGAATATGCAATTAGCCACCCCACTCCCTTTCATCATACTCTACTTTTGTTCTCTAACATTACCTATCATCTATAATGCTGTTATTATTTTGCATTTAAAAATTTTAAATTAAATCTTTATTGTTGAAAATATTACATATGTCCCCTTCCTCCCCTATTTATTTTGCATTTTTATTGCTTACTGTCTGTCTCTCTCCCTGGCAGGGATTTTGTTCAGAGGTATCCCCAGCACCTAGAACAGTGCCTGGCACATAGTAGCTGCTCAAATAAAAATTAGCCATTATTGTGATAAAGTCTATCTTGACTAGTCCTCCCCCTAATAGCTCTGAATTCCTAATTTCCCTTAGTCAACTTCCCTTTTGCTTTTTGGCAATAGCACTTACTATGTTTTAACAAACCATGTAACATACTTATTCAGTATGTTGATTAGTTATTGCTGTTTCCTCCTCGTCACCCCCATCTAGAGTGTAAGTACCGTGAAAGCAAGGACTTTTTTTTATTGATTGATTTCAGAGAGAAGAAGGGAGAGGGAGAGAGAGAGATAGAAACATCAATGATGAGAGAATCATTGACCCACACCTGCCAGACTTTTATAGGTTTTCTCTACTTACACATCTCCAACACCTAGAAGAATTCCTGAATTATATGTGGCAGAGCGCCACAAGCACAGGCAGTAAAGTCAGGTCTCCTAGGACTGACACGGAATTCTCGGATGGCCTTAACCGTGTCTCCACTCTGGGCCTCAGTTTCCCCTCCCAGCTCTTACCCTTTTGGTTTCCCAGCAGCTCCGGTCCAGCCGCCTGACGGCGCCGCGCCCCACATCGCCGCTGGAGGGCAGTGGTGTCCAGCGCTGGCTCCGCCCACCCCCGGGAGGCGGGGCGAAGTGGGACGGCCAGCCCCGGAGTAAAGAAGCCGAGTCCCGCGGCGTCGGGTTCAGTCTCCCCGGAGCTCTCCGCCGGCACTTTCGGTCAGGGCCATGTCCTGCTACATCTACCAGCTGCCCTCCTGGGTGCTGGACGACTTGTGCCGCAACATGGACACGCTCAGCGAGTGGGACTGGAATCATTTCGGTGAGTGGGCCCCTAGCGACCCCGCGGGGGCCGGCCTGGAAGCCCCCTCCTGGCCTGTTTGGTGGGTCCTGATCCGCGGGGCTCTGCGTGCTGCCATCTGGACCCACGTCTCGCTGAGTGCCCGCAGGCAGGCCGCTGACCCCTCTCGGGACCCAGGGCGATCATCTGGAAGGCGCTTTGTGAGCTTTGAGGTTTCCTGCTGTCACTCAGTCCTTCGCAAAGTAATGACCGCCGACTGTGCTCTTTACGGCCAGGCGTGTAAGAGCTGTGAGCAGTTGCTGTAAGTGACCAGTGTGCCGGGCTCTGATGTCAGCACGCGACAGGGGTTATCTGCTTTAGTCCTACAGCCTATAAAGTGCGTATTTCTCTTCCCCCATTTTACAGAGGAGGAAACGGGTTTAGAAAGGTAGAGTCGCTTGCCAGGGACCATGGCCTTGCTAAGTGGCAGAACGGTGTTTGAATGCCGTGTCAGGCCCCACCAGGACATTGTAACTCCTTGGTGTGTTTTGTTTCTTTGTGCCTGATGATTGGCTGAGAGCACTGGGCATCCAGGGGGAGGCTGGGCTTGTGGTCCTCAGGTTCCCAAGTAGAGGTCTGCAATTCAGCTGGTGATTTTGGGTGAGTTGCTTAACTTCTCTGAGCCTCAGCTTCTTAATCTGTAAACTGGAGGTTGTGAGGAATGAAAAATTTTTAATTGATTTTAGAGAGGGGAAGGAGAGGAGGGAGGGAGGGAGGAAGGGGGAGAGAGAGAGAGATTTGTTGTTCCACTTATGTATGCATTCTTTGGTTGCTTCTTGTATGTGCCCTGACCTGAGATCTAACAGGAAATTTTGGTGTATCGGGATGACACTCTGACCAACTGAGCTACCCGGCCAGGGCCAAGGAATAAAAATTGTCTAAAAAGCACCTGACACCAAAGTGTCAGAAATTCTAGAGATTCTTGTAATAATAAAGAAGTGTTAACAATGATCATCTTAGTTTTATGTTTTAATCAGTGTAACTCATGCCACTTTATTTTTAAAATAATACCTATCTGTTCTTTAAATTTTAGATTATAACATATACCCTTTATACAAGAGTATATAATATATATGTACAGTTGAGAGAAATGAACATGTGTGTGTTACTCATCCAGTTTGAGCAAATAATATATATTTTAACCTAGTGGTTCTCAAACATGGGTGATGTTGCCCCCTAGGAACATTTGCCAATGTCTGAGACATTTTTGGTTGATAGAACTTGGGAAATGCAGTGGGTAGAGGCCAGGTATGTTGCTAAACATCCTGCAATGCACAGGACAGCCCGTCCATAAGAATGATCCAGCCTGCTCTGCCAGTGTGGTCCAGTTGGTTGGGTGTCATCCTGTGCAAGGAAAAGTTGCTGGTTTGATTCCGGTCATTGTGGGCTCGATCCCTGGTAGCAGCAGGCAGCAGATAGATGTTCCACTCTCACATCAATGTCTCTCTCTCTCTCTCAAAGTTAATTTTTTAAAAATCTTAAAAAGATAAAGAATTTTCTAGCCCAAAGTGTCAATAATGCTGAGATTCAGAAACTGTTTTAAACCAGTAACAAAAATAATAAATGTTTGTTGCAAAATACAGTGGGAAACTGAGTTCAAATTCCACCACTCAGGGATGCCCATTTTTAATATTGGATACCAATAATAATGAAACAACAACAACAGTAGCTAACTTTTATTGGCTTCTTACCATGTAACACCAGAGTGGTAGGTGTTTTATGCAGTCTAGCCTTCTTTCTAAACATATTTATTTATGTGTATACATTTTTCAAAAATCATGTCATTTTGAAGATTGTAATAGCCTGCTTTTTCACTTAAGATACATTACAATTATTTCTCTTTGCCAAGCAATATTCTTTAGCAGCATGGATTTTTTTTCAGTGTGTATTTTTATTAATTATTTTTAATGGATGGAAGTAACACATGCACTAAGTTAAATGATGTAAATAATACACCTGTGATAGAAGAAGGTAAATATCTTTCCACTTCCTGGTCCTCACCCTCCCTGTTCTCCCTAGAGACAGTCAGTGGTACCTTGTCAGGGCAACTCTGAGAATGTCTGTTACTACGTGATTTTCTTTGCTTGGATGCTCTGTAATTTAGCGGCTTTGAATGTTTCCTGGGCAGTGGGCAAGCTTTGTGTAAGAGACTCCCTCTAGTTTTTTCCATGTTGGCCTCAATTGTGAATGCCAGAACAACTTCTGTTTTCTAGGACACTCATTTAGAAGGCACTTTTACTAGTAGTAAAATTGAAACGCGATAGAGAAGGTTAGCATGGCCCTTCTGCAAGGATGACACTCAAACGCATGAAGCATTCAATATTTAAAAGAAAAACAAAGTGTACAGTTCATCTTTAATTTCTCCTGGACAATACTGTAAATATAAAACCTAAAGATGAGTTTAGATGGTTTCAATCGTATAAGTTCTTCTAATTCTGTATTAGTCTTTTTCAAATGTCACTTATCAGACATAGTTCTGAAATGCTGATAAGTAAGAGGTATCTGGATTTCTGAATATTCATAATTGTATTACCCAAGGATGGAAGTGTTGAAATTTAATTTCTAGCCCGAGATTTTAGAATAAAATCCCTTCAGCACTTGATTGAAGTACCAAAAATTATTTCCAAAAAGTATTTACTGTGAAGAGTACTTCTCACAGATGTATTCTCAGTTTCAGCCCAATAGTTAAAACATGTTTTTTAAAATAAACTGTATAAATACAGTAAAAAATGTAAGAGAGGTCCATTTTGTAATCTTAATTAAAATGAGAGTCCTACAGTTGGATTTTGCATCTGATATCTGTTTGGAGTTTAGAGCCATTGTGTTAAAAAATACTATATGTAACAAGGAAAAGGTGCTTTTTCCTTTTAATTCCTTTGATCGATAATGGCTTTTTTTTCAAATTGGCTAAAGGATCAAAATGAAACTTTGTTAATATGAATCAGTTACTGAACTTGTTACTTGTTTTTGTTAGACATGTTAATGTAATAAATATCAATGTGGGAGATAGTAGTAAAAAAAATAAAGTGTACAGTTCGGTGGCATTTAGTATTTGCAGAGTTGTACATCCCTCTCCACAATCAATCTTAGAACATTTTAATTACCCTCAATAGAAACCCTGTTCCCCTTCATTGTCTCGCCCACATCCCCACACCCCTATTGCTTCCCCCTGCTTTAGGCATTGTTTAATCTGGACATTTTATATAAGTGTAATCATACAATATGTGGTTCTCTGTGAATGACTTTTTTCCTTTAGCATGTTTTCAAGGTGCATCATGTTGTAGCATGATCAGTGCTTAAATTCTTTTTATTGCTGAATAATATTCCATGGTACGGATATACTGCATTTTATCTACCCAGTTATCAGTTGATGGACATTTGGGTTCTTTCCACTTTTTGACTATTGTGAATAATGCTCCTGTGCACATTAATGTGCAAGTTTTTGTGTGGACATGTTTTCATTTCCCTTAGGTAGATATCTTGGGAGTGGAATTACTGAGTCATAGGGTAACTCTATGTTTAACATTTTGAGGAACTACCAGATTTTTCCAAAGTGACTGTACCATTTTACATTCCCACCATCAGTGTATGAGGGTTAGTTTCTTCACATCTTCACCAACACTTGTTATTGTCTTTTTTATTCTAGCCATTGGAGCGGGTGTGATGTGGTATGTTATTGTGGTTTGATTTGTATTTCCCTAATGACTAAGAAGTGGAGCGTCTTTCATGTGCATATTGGCCCTTTGAACATCCTCTTTGGGCCTCTAATTCTTTAGACCCTGGAGACACCAGAATTGCTCAAAGTCCGAATAGGCTTCTCATTGTGGTTTATAATATAATCCAAACTCGTCACTAGACCTGCCCAGTCTGACACAATCTGACCCCACTGACTCTGACCTCTCCTCTCATACCCTCTTGCTCAACCTGCTCCAACCACACTGGCCTCCTTGGTCCAGACTCAGGGCCTTTGCACTTGCTGTGTCCTCTGCCTAGGACAGTGATGGCGAACCTATGACACGCGTGTCAGAGGTGACATGCGAACTCATTTTTTTGGTTGATTTTTCTTTGTTAAATGGCATTTAAATATATAAAATAAATATCAAAAATATAACTCTTTGTTTTACTATGGTTGCAAATATAAAAAAATTTCTATGTGACACGGCACCAGAGTTAAGTTAGGGTTTTTCAAAATGCTGACACGCCGAGCTCAAAAGGTTCGCCATCATTGGCTTAGGACATTCTTCCACCTATGTTCTCCATGACTAGCTGTCTAGTCTGTATTAGTTTCCTCTTGCTGCTGTAACAAAGTACCATCAATTTAATGGCTTAAGAACTGCACAAATGGCCCTAACTGGTTTGGCTCAGTGGATAGAGCGTCCGCCTGCGGACTGAAAGGTCCCAGGTTCGATTCTGGTCAAGGGCATGTACCTAGGTTGCATGCACATCCCCAGTAGGGGGTGTGCAGGAGGCAGCTGGTCGATGTTTCTCTCTCATCGATGTTTCTAACTCTCTATCCCTCTCCCTTCCTCTCTGTAAAAAATCAATAAAATATATTTTCAAAAAAAAAAAAGAACTGCACAAATGCATTATGTTACAATTCTGGAGGTCAGAAGAACTAAAACCAAGGTGTTGGCAGGGCTGCATTCTTTGTGGAGGTTCTGAGGAAGAATCCATTTCCTTGCCTTTCCTAGCGAGGCTGCCTGCATCTTATGGCTCATGGCCCTTTCCTTCAAAGCCAACAGCATAGCATTGTCAGCTCTCTTTGTCTGAGCTCTGCTTCTATCATATCTTTTCTGAATCTGACACTCCTGCTTCCCTTTTAGAAGGACCCTTGTAGCTGTGTAACAAGCATGTCAAACTCAGAGGCTAACACAGGCCAAATAAGGTTTAAGTTGATGTGGGCCACAAAAAAACAAAAGCTTCAATTTTCATAGAAACGTAGGTTTATTTCGATAGAGACATGCTGAATACAAAGGGCTGAA